TTAACTCCTCGAGCTTGGTTCACAAGCCACTTATCGAGCCGAGCTCGAGTTGTCTCACAAGACAGTTTGGCTCACTTACACCAGCGTGTTCTAAATGAATGAATTAAAAAATTTAGAAAAATATTTTTATGATTATAATGAAAAAAAATATTTTTAATGTAAAATTTAAGAAATCTTTAAATACATATCAATCAATTTTTTTGTATTTACATTTTTAATAGCTACATTTTAATTTTTACATTTATGCCACCTTACATAATTATGAAAATGTGTTTTTAACTTTTTAGAATTGAAAAGTGGTATATTCGATGTGATATGAAAAATTTGGGTGCTATAAAAGAAAAATCAAAATTTAGGTATTAGATATGTAAATATACATAAGAATCAGGTGCCAAAGATGCCAATGATCATTTAATTTCTTTATAATGAATAATTGATTTAGAGGACTTAATCTTGATGCAGTACAAAATGATATATGCTTACTTTTATATATTTTGATTATTTTAAATGTAATTTAATTTGTTTTCAAAAATAAATATATAAAAATTGTATTAAGTAAAAGAGGAAACACAAGTAATGTAAAATGAGCTCTTAGTTTTTAAAAGTTAGTCTTATTAAATTTTTTCTTTCTTTTTGTATTTTTCTTAATATCTTGTTTATTTAATTTTTTGAAATATTTTAATAATTTTTTATTATAATGGCATGTCCGATGTGTGTCTGTGTCCTATATATTCAATAATAAATTTTTCCCGTATCCGTGTTGTGTCCGTATCTGCTCAACATAGGTCAACATCAAATAACTACTACATGTCTAATGTTAATGATGACCAAGTATCAATTTGTTTACCTTTATAATGATGCATTGTACTATGACCTCGCTCCTTACAAAAATTAACCTTTAATCATGACAGAAAAAGTATATGGAGCTAACGAAAGGTGCTGCTGACAATTACCATCAGTCATGGTGGAAAAGGCATGGAGTAGTCCTTGATGGAGAGATTGGCGCTCTTTACTTTAAACAAGGAAATTATGATCTTGCTGCTAAGTCATATGAAAAAAACTGTGCTCTTTATGCTGGAGAAGGATGGCAAGACTTGTTGGCTGATGTTCTTCCTAATCTGGCAGAATGCCAGAAAATCCTAAATGATCAAGCTGGCTACCTTTCATCATGTGTTCGGCTATTATCATTGGATAAAGGTTTATTTTCAATTAAGGAAAGGCAAGCTTTTCAGTCTGAGGTTGTTCGACTGGCTCCTGGTGAGATGAAGCATCCAGTGCCTCTAGATGTTTCATCATTAATTACATTTTCCGGAAATCCCGGTCCACCACTTGAGCTATGTGATGGTGACCCTGGTACATTGTCAGTAACTGTGTGGAGTGGTTTTCCTGATAATATTGCTCTTGAGTCTCTTAGCTTGACATTAATGTCGACATTTAGTACTGATGAAGGAGTGAAGGTATGCTGCAGCATTATCTTTTGGTTGATATTTTCTCCTTTTTCCCCTTCAATTTATTTGTAAGCAAAGTTGCAGTGTCAGGGAGTATTAATTTATTTTTGCACGTGAATGCCCAACAATATGAAATTTTATGTAGCTAGAGATCAAGTTAGTGTTCCAACGCGTTTCTTAACGTGTTGCAATTCATCACTCATTTAATTTTTCACGGTTTAGTTTGCCAACATAAGAAGACCTTATGCATTCTTATATGGTGATTTTGCTGTTTGTAGGATATAAAATGCTCGAATGAGCCTGTACTAAAACCTGGCCGTAACCTTGTTATGCTTGAATTACCACCCCAAAAGCCAGGGTCCTATGTATTAGGTGTTCTTACGGGGCAGATTGGGCAGTTGAGATTCAGATCACATAGCTTTTCTAAAGGTGGGCCACCAGATAGTGATGATTTCATGAGTTATGAAAAGCCAACCAAGCCTGTATTGAAGGTAATGCTTCTTATGATCTAATTGCATATTATTTATTGAATAAACTAATTCTTCGGTTGCTGGCTTTCTTTTCTATGATTTTTCTAAAACCTTTATAATGACTTGAACATTGTAAATTACAAAATTATGCTTGATCCAACATTAGAATGATTATGGAATTTGCATACATTATCTTATTAGGTGCACAAACCAAGACCTTTAGTTGATATTACTGGGGCAGCATCATCTGCATTGTTAATAAATGAAGTTCAATGGGTTGGACTAATTGTAAGTCCAATGAACTACTCCCTTAAAGGTGCTATCTTGCATATAGATACTGGTCCTGGATTGATGATTGAAGAATCTCAAATGATTGAGATGGAGCTCTACAGAAAATTGACAGATCATTTTGTCAAACAAGATGCATGTTCAACTGAAGTATGTGAGAAGTTGCTGCTAGAAAAAGGCCAACTAGCTTTTCCAGACTGGGCTGGTGATGTAGCTACTGTCTTGTGGCTTCCTGTTCGTGCCATTGACAACATGCTGGCTCGTGGAACCTCTTCTGGTTGGTATTTATTTTTTATTCTGCTTGACCGAAATGTTTTTGTTTCTTCTAATCAGTTTTATACTTGGTCACATCTGATTCCAGTAAATCCTTCTCGGCACAGTGTTGTAGATGGAATGAGGATGATTGCTTTGAAGCTTCAATTTGGGATTTTTCGAAACCAAATATTTGAGAGGCATGTGGTGATTTTGATATTTCTTTTTATTATTTATCATTGGAATTTACAATCAAACATGTACATGCCAAATCCTTTGTAGTTGCTGCAAACTTCTCAGTTAGGCCCCTCTTATTTTCCCTAGTACGAGCTTCATTCATGTTTTAACCTGCAATTTAGCACTTCTTAATGTGCCCATGTAAATTTGTTGATATTGATGTGAATCTTTTGAAATTTCGCATTCTTCTCACCGAGATGTCTCATCTTCCACCAATAACCAGAGGCTACTTCAACTCTCTCTCTCTCATACTATTTATGTCTAGTAGTGACGTGAAACTGTTGCAGTGATGCATAGAGACTGAACATAAAGCGTCAACTCCAGCTGCTTCTCTTCATTATCTGAAGCCTATGACAATCTGTGATAGGGCAGTGCAGAGATGGCATTGCAAAACCTATCCGCTTCACTCCAAATCTTCCAATTTATTCTCTTCTCTCTTTTGCTTGCATTGGATCTCATCAATGAGATGATTGACCTGTTTGGGGTCGCTGTTTTAGTTCTTCGTGGCAGC